GATTGACAAACAATATAGATTTGCTTGAATCGTTTAATCTATTTTATCGCGTAATTTTCGAATTATTTCGAAAATTTAGCTTTGAAGAGGATTCTGCGAAAAACTTCAAAATATATTATTTCTGATAATATAATCCATATTGTCAATCTCTTGTTAATAAATATTTTTAAAAAAACATTAAATTATATGTAATATATATTTTTGTTATTTCTCAATAAGCTAAAGCATCATGTCAATTGATTATATATGTGTATATATATATATATATATATATATGTGTATGTGTTTTAATATATTTAAATATTTGTAATATTTTAATATATTTCTATACAATCTATTGCATTCGTATTGTAATAAATTCCACAAACACACATATATCTTCTTTTATCCTCATTTGTCTATTAAAATTATTAATCAATGAAAATCAATTAAAATTGATATAAAAAAGATCGAAATATAGAGGATCAAAATTAAAAATTTATGTAAGCAGCATCCATTATTTTTTTATCATATATTTTCAAACCATAAGACTTACTTGCACTGATAAATACGTCATACTAAAACTTGCAAAATATTGCAATATAGTATGGAGTATTTTTTAACAAAAAAGTGATTTTTTTGATCATTCTTTTGTCAAGTTTTCCGATATACTATTATAACGAAGGAGTAATGACCAGTGTATGTTATCGTGATCGTATCGTCGATCAGATCGATCGTTTCTGAAATCGTTGTTTGTTCATACTAATGAATGCGACGTAATGCATCTTGCACACGAGGGCGTTTCACCAACGTGTTGCTGGTTGGCTGATGGAACTTATAATCTCCTCACGACGCGATTGTACGCGTGAAGCAGTAAATAATGCCTCGCACTGTACATGAAATGACCCGGGGGCAACACTGGCTGACGGACTTTGACAGCTCGGGGTCGCCAGTTCGTAAAGAGAGAGAGAGAGAGAGAGAGAGAGAGAGAGAGAGAGAGAGAGAGAGAGAGAATAGAGAAGTCGGTTCGCCGGTATTATCTGTCTTTCTTCTCCTTTTTCACCTCTCCTTGCCTTCCTTCTTTGAAACTTCACTTAACCACTTCTTTCTGTAAGTAGGCAAATATTCGTGTCAACGTCATCGAACAAAATCAACTTTGCTATCAAATTAACCCTTAATCGCCTTCGGTTCGACTAATATATATAATTAATCCCGTGGAATTACGATCATGTTACATTGTTTATTACATACAATTTTTACTATACAAATTGGAAATTAATAACCTTATTTGGCTAAAAAATAATTCAATAATTTTGAAAATGTGTTCGCAAATTAGTAGAAAAATTCGGACTGATCAAATCTGTTAATAAAAAAGCATCACTATTTTTCGCATTCAACATGTCACATAAGCTTTTACATTCAACATGTTACATAAGCCAATATATCCGAATAATATCTAATCTCAAGAATCTAATTTTAAAATCTAATTTTAAAATTAAAATGGACTGATAAAAGTAATCTGAAATATCGATTTTCCGGCGATGATAAAAAAGAAACCAGCGAATGGAAATGTTCGCGAGTTAACGGAAAAATTCACCTGATAAGACGCGATATGCAAAAGAGTTGTCTGGCGATAATTTTATCACTGGTAATTCCTCCATGTGCCTCGCCATAAAAAAATCATGTTAGAGAAAATACGCCGAGAACGTGACTGATGATTAAATATAAGGACAGTAAACTAATTGACAGTAAACATTTCGCGAAATATACAGAATTATCTTCGAAAATAAAAATTATCTATCTTCAAAAGTCAATGCGAGCTGTGTTGAAGATGACCCAATTTCAACTTTTGTCGCTATTTATGATGATATATTCTGATGATTACTTTTGCAAGGTGAATGAATAAATAACATTTATAATATTTCCTACCTATTTTAATATTTTTAAGTAAGTATAAAAGTATTTTTAGATAAATTAAGAGAAGATCATCTCAGAAAGCGAATATTTCACCAGATATTTTATTTATATATTTCAGCCATTCTATTGCGTAAAATAAGAGATACATTACGAAGTGTTCACTTTCTGATGAACTTGCATCTTTCATTACAAACGGAAACGAAAATGAGAGTCGACTCCGTTCCTTTTTTTCACTGAGCAAGGGCGTGAATCGCAGATTTGGACAATGGTAATAAAGTGTGTAACGCAACCTTATCATGCGATAATATTGAAATGCAGTTCCTTGACGACGGCTAGTAAAATAAATCAATATACGCCAGTACCCTTCCTTCATTTTTTACTTTCCTTCAGGAAAGGCACGCGATAAGGGCGTCTATCTTACCCATAAACTTAGCTTTCATTCACAGAGGCAGCGACGCCTCCTTCCGTTTCTACTTAAGACGTACATAATATTCTGAATAACGATGACTCTTGCCTTCGATATATATAATAACGATAATAACGATAACTCAGAGTCGATTTCGTTATAATGAAACCCAAAGTAAAAGGACTTAAAAGTTGCTAACTTGGTTTAGAGGCGTGGAGAGAACAAGAAGTAAAGTCATTTCCTTAGGCAACGTGAGCCGCGTGGTTCCAGGCACGGCGTTGTGGGAACCGATTCACCTGGCTGACATAGCGATGGTCTTGTTACTACCAGTCATTTACCTTTCGCTATTATTCACTGGTTGCAATAATATTTTACATTCAATTCAATATCTCTTTTCTTATTTCGCTTGAAAATACGCTTTTCACGCCGTTTAGACCAAAAAGAGGCACTTGTTACTTCAGAGACATGCTCTATGCAAAATATGGCCAATCAGCATTGATTTTATGTAGGCAGATCCAATTTTAAATCATTTTATGAAATATTATTTGAAATGCAAAGGGTACATTAATAAGATATTTTAAGGAGAGTTTTGAAATGCTTGCTAAAAGATTATAGAAAATAGCTAAGTTGCTAGTAATTAGCCGGATATTTTGCTTCTCTTCTTTATTGCAAATTATCGAAAAGTTCTTCTTATACTAGCTTCTCGTTTTTTGCGACACACATTCTGAATCATTCTTATTTGACTCCACGAATCATGATCGATCGTCGAGGAAAAAATAGTGCCATATGAGTTTATGATTAATTTAGTGATTGATTTTAAGAATATATTTTTATACGTACAATATTTTTTAACAAAATAAAACAAATATTAAAAAATTCAGTTTTTTTTTTATAATACATATATATGAATTTAAAACAAAAATTTTAAACCTGGATGAAAAATTATTTCAACAAGAAATAGATATAAATAAACAAAAAATAATTAAGATAAAATAAAAAAATTTTAATTTAAAATATAAAATTGTATTGTTCAATATATATTTATATCAATTATATTCAACTTGATATGTATATATCATTCATTTTTATACGGAAAATTTAAATTTTCAATTTCAGTTACAGTTACTTTTTGCAGAGACTATAAGTACATGATACATTCCTAATTATTATCTATATTATAATTATCTATATATAGTAGTTCAGTAATTAATTTTGTATACAATGGACGTACAGATTTATAATTATCGGAGTCAATTCCCGTATAGCTTCGCAAATTCGTCGAGCAGATAAAGCTGGGTTTTACATAAAAACAGAATAAATATAATCAGTAAGATACCCGTTGCAGAATGACGCTGTCAGCGAGGTCAGGGTTGGTAAAGTTGATTTTGCATAAGTGATGCTGATTAATGATTACACAGTATCGTTTGCAGTCATATATTATACTTGGTACCAAGAAATTTGATTAAAAAAAAAACAGAACACTGTCAAATCAAAGAACATCGTGCCTTTTCTTGTTCAAACAATTACTAAAATACGAGACATTCTTAGAAGAAAAAGGTGAAGAAGCGTCGCAACATAAAGATACATGGAATTCTCGTTATTTCCTTTTAAGTCCTAGGATTTCAACTAGCGATTCATAAGTCGCGTGACAGTTTGACAGTTTGCTTTGAATTTTCTCAGAGAATTGCATGAAAATTTGCAGGCAACATGGAACGAATCCATCTAATGTCCATGTTTCTACCAATAAAGATTAACTTCCATCTCGGTTTAATCCTAATTGATATTTGCGAGTCCAGTGAATTCGGACTTTTTCTTCAATTGTGTTGTAAAAAATTAGTTATAACAAATGTTTTTCACAACTTTATATAATTTTAAGTTGCATAATTTTAATCCTCGAATTTTGACCTTCAAAATGAAAAAAAAAAAACATCGATTAATTATTTATGTTATTTTTAAGTAGAGATATATTAATTTTATAAGTACACTAGACTCGTAAATATTAATTTAAAAAATTCCGAAACAAATACCGATTAGGGTTAACTTACTCTTTATCTTTATCTGATTATTAAAACTAGAACAAGATACAAAGTATGTTAAACTGAGATTAAAGTCAATCTATCTAATAATAGAAGTGGATTTAACTCGTTTGATCATACAATGCTAGATGTTAAAGATGTAATGTAACTAAATCTCTTAAGTTAATTAGTTTTCATAAGTATTAAAATGTAAATCAATTTATTTCGAAGTAAATAACGTTCATATTAACGTACGTACTTAATAAATAATAAACAAAAATTGAGTCAAATTTAATATATTTTCTTGGGTTAAATTATTTAACTCTATTGCTTTAGTAAAATTAACGTCATATTAAGTAGTAATGGTGAATAATAGAAATAATGAAAAATAATTCCAATTGGATATAACTTGACATTATGAATTTAACGGCGCATGGAGAAAAATGTTTGGTTGAATTAATTGAAATTCTGGTGGAAAATAAACAATCCAGAATTTTGATTAAATCTATTATTGTATAATTCTAGTTGAGATAACTAACATTCAGAATTTCCTTGATTAAATTCCTTGATAAAAATCCATCAGAATATCAGTTAATTCAACAAAATATTTTTATCTGTAGACGCGTAACTCGTTTCTTTCGTGATTTTCAAAGCTCGATTGTTTTTGAACAATCTCGCCACCAGGATCCATAACACACGTTATACGATTTGTGAGTTGCGTAATAGAGAAGAGACCAGACTCGTCGATTATCCGCCCGCTCTTCTCGGAACAACACGGGCAGGCGGATATACGATACCGACATTGTATCTAATCTCCACGGCTACAAAGCAACGAGTAAATATTGTACTCCAGAAGGGGATACTTTCGGTGGGTACCGACGTATCGGCTATCAATACCGTTCGTTCGGTTAGTGCTATCCGGAGTCCCCAGTCGCTTGACAATAAACCGTCGTCTTCCCACATAAATATCCGGAAGGATCGTGTAGAGTGAAGAACACACTTTTATCGTATGTCCTATTTTTCTTTTCTTTTTCTTTTACTTTCTTCCTCGGTATCACTATCCGTTAATGATTGGTATTCTCTTCCCGTGGCGCATCATTCATCGTCGAAGGAAATCGAGGACTGAGAGGAGACATGCGGTTTCGATTCTCAGCTTTTCTGCTTCTCTGCGCCGTTTCGCTTGCGACGACACAGGAAGTCTGGGAGTGTCAAGAAGGTGTCGACGACGAGCTGATTTGGGAATATGCGGTCAGAAGACCGTATCGAATCGGTGGTTATCAAGTGCGTTTACAATAATCACAAACTGGGTTCTGTTAATCGCACATGGACCTCTTTTGAATTCCACTCATAAATAGTTACTCTAATCCACTCACAAAGGTTTCTCGATTGTAACTAGGAGGTAGAGGCGGATTATGGGCCGACTGACGCGAGAATCACGTGCATACGTATCAACTCGCTCTCCGATGAAGATAACGGCGCGGCGTGGGTCACCGCCGGCGGAATCGGCTACAACTTCGTCAAACTCAAGTTCAGGTCGAAGTACTCACAAGGACTTCATTATAAAGTCCTCGTTTACGGGCGGCCCACCCCGAAAGGTTCATGGCTATTTTGATGGCTTACAAACATGTTTCGCACTAGTACTTAATCTCGATTCCCATGTTTAAATGTGTAATCGCTTGATTCCTTTTTGAATTGTTTTCTTTAATTCGGGAATAGTCATCTGATTTTTTTTTTTTTATGTAAACGATCACCTGGGATGTTTTAACCCCAGTAAAAATCACTGTTATTAATAACATATTTGAAAACATAAATATAGATTTAATCAAAATTTTATGAAAAAATTAATTACCTATAGCAACCAAACAAATTTTAAATGGGATAAGCATGTTAAATGGCTTATTTTGAAAGTATTTCTAAAAAAAATTTTTATTAATATAACGTTTCTTTATTTAATTTATCTAATACGCTTTTATAAATAATATCTTACAATTCATATTTTCTCGCCGCTGTGACGTGCTAAAACACTCAGGGTGACTATTCTCAGGTTAATATTAACTCTATCATTTGTAGTAATGCGGTAAAGTCATATATAATTCAATAGAAAGATTAAACGATACGTACTTCTGTATCTATCGATACCCACTTTAAATTCGGCTTCTTAAATACATTTCACAATCTGCATTGTCTCGTTAGCCGGAGCAGCGTGTTGTACGAATTTTCGACACTGCCCTCCGCACATTAAATCTGCAGATAGATTTACCCCCATTGTAATTTAGGACGTTAACCCTTCGCGTGTCCCGATAACACTGACAGAAATGGAAACGCCTCGTGACAAGAAATAGAGGCTTCTGCGATAGTAAATCTATCCTCCTCCGTTTTGCTTTTTATTTCTGATAAAAGTAATAAAAATATAAAGCAATTAACAGTACATTTTTCTAATTTACTACAATGTTCGGTCTTTGCTTCGCATAATTAGGCGAAGATAAGCTTAACTTCGCGCATGTGATAATGCAATAAATCTTTCTACACGTAAATCATCCCTTAATTAATAATGTAATCGGAAAGAAATAAAATAAAAATGTAGAACAGAAATATTTACATGAATTTAGTCTAAAAAAAGTTGATTCTGAAAATAAAAAAACTAATTTTCCTAATCCGTAATTGAGGGATAATGGTAAAGTTAGTACAATTCATTTCACGAATTGAAGACACAATTTTCTAAGGATTGCGCGGGGAAAAGGAGGTTTATCGTTTCCGAATGCGCGGTACCATGTAACCTATATATCCCTTGTGGGCCAAATTCCGAAAGCCAACTAACGTGACCGCAGCGATAAGCTCGCATTGGGTTCCACATGGAAAGGCGCGGAGACGACTCTTCAGATTGGAAAAGCATAATAGGAGCCAACCACCCTGGAAGGGGGGGGGGTGTACCATCCGCGGATTGCCTCCATCGACGAAAGAAATATATTTTCCCTGCGTGCAGGAAATAATTACGTGGTCGAACATGCGAAACGATATCCGTCGTTCCTTCGGGCAATTACACGAAAAGAAAGTTTTGATCGGCTAGTTCGAATAGGCAAGCACGACAAGCGGTATACACAAGATAGAAAGATTGCCTGTTCATCAATTATCGAGGACATTTCCAATATTTATTTCGTATACTTTGGAATCAGACAGTTTTATAAAACAATTAAAAGATAATTCTTTAATCATATTGAGAAAAAAAAAAGAATAAAGCGAGAAGAAGGTGTAATTCTATTCAGCGGCAAGCAAAATTAGAATTTTAAACTAATTATTATACATTAAATTGTTATTATTAATTAGCACTAATTAATGTATCTTCAATTATTATAAAAATTATCATATTCTGTGTGCATTACAATCAAATGTAATAAAATATAATATACTAAATATATAAATATATTTTCTCTCTAAATATTTATTAAAATTGTCTTTTCATCTGTTACCTTAATCCCTTAGCCTTTCTTACATTTTAGATAGAAGAAAATTATATATATATTTTTAATTATATATTTTTAATATAACAAATGTTGAATGAAAAATTGATAAGATATCAAGTTGAACATTCTCTTCACATTTACGTAATCAGGTAGCAAATTTCGTTTTTGCTCCCGGCTCAAATATTCACACCACATCTATGTTACCGCTCTCGTGAGAGGGTACGTGTGTTGGGACACCCTCGTATACGGCATCCCCGTCCCCGTTGACTTGCGGCGCAAACGGGAACCGCGTTCAGACGCCGTGCACGGCACGCGATCCCGCCACCCGCGGTGGGATCCTCAGGAACAAAACGGCAGAAGCGTCGCGACGCCGATCCGTCGACGCCGCCTCAGTGAAGTCCCACCGTTCGTGGCGAACGCAAGCGATCGCACCCCCGCTGTTAGGGTTGCAGTCGAGAAGCCCTGAGAAAACTGTACCGCCGCCAACCGTCTTCCTTCGTCGCCAAATAAAACGCTCGCTTGCAGTCCTCTTTGCGGGAAAGCATCGCGACGCCAATTCGAACATCGAGAGTATCGAGACACGCTTTAAAGATGCCGCGGGTAAGTTATTTTTCAATTTTCTTTTATTTTTAATTATTAATATAAAATCATCAATAATTATTAAATATATTATTATATATATAAAATAGATTATTAATAA